CTATTTATTTTTAGACTTACGATTATGTAAAATAAACGGAAAAATTCTAATAAACCTAACACGGCATACTTTCGCTTAAAAGTTGTTTATAGACATAAGAATGAAATAACCATAAAATGAAGTTTTAGAGTAATTTTCCTGTTTCTAATAGGGATCTGTCAAATACGTATATGCATACTACCTGATTTCGGCAGAACCTGCCAATTGATTCAGGGATAAATAGGAATGGTAAAATTTTTACACTTACAACTTTTCAATAAATCGAGTAATCCATTTATGTATACAAGGTGTTTCTAAAAATCTCAGAAAGATCCTATATAAATACTACATTTATAAAATTAGAGAAAAAAGTAAACTAAAAACATGTATAAAAGCAATCGGAGCTAATCAAATAATTATTAGTTCTGTTATGAAGATATAAAATGTCCTAAGCCGTAAAATGCGCTAGGGGTGAATTTTATTGTATTCATGTTGTACACTTCAAAATGACCTAACCATGTAAACCATGACGTGGCAACCCAAGGCTATAAGTAACGAGATTCTAAACTACCTCTACCTACATTTATTATTTACANTATCCTCCTGATAACGTGCTTAAGTTCTAAGTACTTTTTATGCAGCTAGATATATTATTTGTGTAGACCATGACGTGGCAACCCAAGGCTATAAGTAACGAGATTCTAAACTACCTCTACCTACATTTATTATTTACAGTAGCGTTTTAGACACCTACAATAGTCTACTAGGATTAAAATAATTGTTAAATTTGAATACATATGTCTAATAATAATAAATAAGATAAACAAACAAAAATTAAATTTCATTAAATAAAATGTATTAGGAGTTTCAAACTTCTATAATTTAAACTTTTTATGTCAAAAGCACTAAAATCCACGCTTCTTAATGTTTCCCATATAATTTTATTCAACTTATCAAGTTATACTGTATAACCAGTATCTAATTATTATTTTCGAGGGAGACGAAATGCATTAAAACGAAACCTGCCGGAATTACCGCATATAAATTATATTAAGCGTTGCTAATAAAATGCGTCGAAAGTTGCAGCTATTGTTCATTAAAACCAAGATCGCGTCAGTACGTTTAGTCATATTGTACCGCAAAGCACCATAAGTTAACGCTCTTTACAACCGATCGGTCAACGGAATATCAATGAACTTTTTCCGATGTGCCTGCGCTAAAGACTTCATCGGAACTTTTTTTTTATAAGTTCGCGGTTTTTAAGACCGGAACCTAACAAACGTTAACTGGCGATGTGCAGTTCACACACGTTTTAACCAGCACATTATCGACTATGGACGTGTCATGGGACTTGGTAATATCTTCGGAGCGAACTCATTTTTTGTTTAAATTCCGAGTAAACACTCGTAAAGTTAATGGAAATGAGACCGCTGGGACAAAATGGAAATTTACTATTTGTTGGAATTAAATTTCTGTTAGTAGCTGTTGTAAATGTTCGTTTTTTGGAGACGAAAGTATAAATAAAGTCAAATTAAGATATACTAAATCCATTTACTTATATCAATTTTACATACTTATTACGAAAAGCACGGAATCCTGAAAATTTAAATCAAAAAAGTTGAAATGCATAAACGTACCTACGAGAAAATGATGCGAGAAATTGTGAAGAAAACTGCGTGTAGCGCAAATTCTATATTCTGTATGTCTATTGTTGGAAATTTAAATCTTTAGATATATGTATCTATAAAATATAAACTAAGAAAGTAATGTAATATTCTCTACACAAAATGAGATACTATTTCAGTTGTGATTCACAACTGAATTCACCTATGGGATTGTAATAGTCGAGGTGGTACAGTGACGGTTCGTAGTTAAAATTGATGGGGATACTGCTTATGTAAAAGGAAATAAAATCCGACACATACGGATGAGGATACCGTGGATAGAGAAGGTTAGAAATGAAGAGGTATTAGAAAGAATAGGAGATCAGAGGACTCTATGGAAGTCAATAAGAAATAGGCGAGATAAGTTGGTAGGACACCTTCTCAGGCATGAAGGTCTAGTCAGAGACATATTAGAAGCGGAAACGGGAGTTAGGAGGGAGGTTGCCCTAGATTAGATTACTGTTCGCAAATAGTTAAGGATGTGTGTTGTTCTAGTCTTATATAGGGAAATGCGAAGATTAACTGAAGATAGGAAAGAGTAGAGGTGCGCGTCCAACCAGTCTTAGGACTGACGATTTTATGATGATAGTACACGGATTAAAAAAAGCTATCTTCCACTGCCTGTACGTTAGGGTAGGCACAGCGGAAATGACGGAATCGAAGGTGCTCTTCCTCCATGTGAAGTGCACAGTTCCATACAGAGATCATTCTAGCTTTTTCATATTAAAGTGAGAGAAGGCTATTAACATTAATTGTTAAAAGTTTGAAGATTATATAAGGTGATTAAAGAAAAAACGACTCGTTATAAGTATTAAAAGTTATCGATAATATCAAACAGAAATAAGTGGTGCTGCGTTCTACAGCACGGTGCCTCCACGCGAGCTGCCACTGATCGAACAACCACAAATAATTGTGACATATCACATGGTCAACAAAAAAAGTTACCTAGGTACCCTTGTTACTCTCTTGAACTTGTATTTAGTTTCACGTGGCCGCTAAATCACAGCGGTAGCCCGGTGTTCTTTCGACAGATGAGAGTTTTTAACCTGGTTCACTCTTCTCGATAAGTTTACGAAGAGGTTCGTGCACTTTCTTTATCCTCCAACTAGTCGTCGACATGCACGTTTTGTAAATGCAGAGCCTGTGCAACTATACGTACAATCTGTCCGCTAAATCTCGCAAACTTCCCCGATATTGTTGACAATAACTGCCCTGTCATTAGTCTATCCGGCCCGAGCGACCGTGTATATGCCGCTACAATGTATCAAATTGTCTCCAACTGATACTTTATGCGCACAATGGAACGCGCGGGTCCCCAAGTGTTTTCGAAACTTGTAGTTTCTCAGCATCAGTTGCTTTCTTGTTTGCCTGTTTATTTCTTGCCTAGTACCTATACTTATAAAGCATATAATACATTGTAGTAGGTACTAAGTTACACAGCACCCGCCTCCTTGTAATAATAATCCATTTTCCTTCAAGTGGACGGTATTGTCGGCGAGCACTGCTTCGCCCCTTCGGCTTATACTCAAAGGCAATTATTAGAACCTTCCAACAGAGGGACCACTTATCGACAAGGACTCTTGATGCTTAAGCTAATGTTCTTGCAAAAATCAGAGACCTAGCCAAAGGGGGGGATGCCGGTGGTTGCCCCCCCCCCCAATATCTGCATAGTTGGCTTTTTCAACTTATTAGTTAGGAAATATGTTAAAAATATTAGACTTCTTTTATAATTTCGTTTAAAAACGTCTATAGGTAAAACTGCTTGAGAAAAATAAGATTACAAAAAGGCATACTTGTAGGGTCCATAAAAATAATGTCGGTTCTTAGTTATTGTTCACTGAACTCCCGCTGGTAGCAAATATTACCGTTCCAGTATCATCAAGAAATCGGACTTCTGGTCAATATTTCATATCAAATACCTCAAAGTAATGCAGTTCCCACAAGAGCGTTGTGAAAACGGGATAAACAGGATAAGAAGACCTTGAACATTGTAGACGCAATAAATATTATGAATAGAACCAGAGAATTTGCTAGAAAAGTCACCTAAAACGAAAAGTTCCGGCAAAAATTGGTAACAGTGAATCCAATGCAGCGAGCATATGTTTTATAGAAAAGATTATTAAGCGTTTAAGATGCAATTACAATCTTTTTGCGAAATAAACTCATCAAAATGGTTGTAATACGTTTGAATACAGTATTAAACATTCTCACAAACCTTTTAGACAAAAAGAATACTACAAGTGAAAATACTGAACAATTAATTCTGCTGGTGTATCCTCCTGATAACGTGCTTAAGTTCTAAGCACTTTTTATGCAGCTAGATATATTATTTGATATATGATCTTCTATACAAGTAAGTCATCATGAAGTTAGCTGCTAAGTATAAACTATCTGTTGGGGAAGCTTTCGTCTTTGTCAGCTAGTATTTACAGCTAGCTTTTCAGTGCCTTGAAACGAGAAAAAATTTAGCTTACTTTAAGTAGTTAAAAATTGCGACCAGGTCCATCATTAAAGCGGAAAGACTTGATGCCCTAACGATGATAAAAAGCAAAAAAGATCTTTGCGATGCTCTTAACCTAAACAATTATGGACGAAACACAGGCAAATTCGATATTAACCTGTTATATAAGGTATTTAACAGAGGACTCTATGGAAGTCAATCAAAAATAGGCGAGATAGGTTGGTATTTCACCTTCTCAGGCATGAAGGTCTAGTCAGAGACATATTAGGGGCAGAAACAGGAGTTAGAAGGGGTAGAGGTAGACCTAGGTGAGATTACTGTTCACAAATAGTTATGGATGTGGGTTGTTCTAGTTTTAGGGAAATGCGAAGATTAGCTCAGGATAGGAAAGAGTGGAGGTACGTGTCCAACCAGTCTTAGGACTGACGACTCTATGATGATGATGATGATGATGAGGTACTTCTTTTAAATAATATCGATACTTTAAGAAAGTTTTTCGGGTTCGATTCCCGGCAAGTCAGTAACAAACAGTTTTACCTCATTAACTTGAGGTAATCTGTAGTGGGATGAAACAAAGTTGATTTAACATTTATGTTTGATAATAACTATTATTATAAATGCATATTTTTAGAAGTGTGTGTGTAAAACTGTAGTTAGAAAACTAAAGTGCAGCAGTTATTTATTCGGTTGCGCCCCCCCCCTCAAACAGAATAATTCACCATGTCACCACGAGCAAGCCTGGATCAAGCATTTTGCCTAGTTTTTAACTTTTTTCTTAGAATTCATCCTAACTATCCCACTTTAATTTTCGCCTAACTCATCAATTAATATAGCAACCTTTTATTTTTAAAAATTGAGAAACTGATCAACTAATGGAATGGAATAGGTATACTTACGTTGTGTAATTTATAGTATAAACCACAAGCGTTACAGACGGGTTCGCCGTTTTGATTGCGCCTCCAAAGGGTCGTCGTCGTCGTTTTGCAGTTGGCACAACTGGTACCCGCCCTCCGAGCCGCACTTTGTAAACTCTGCAACAAAACCCAATATTAAAAATCTTCCGTTTGGTATCCATGAGAGAAACTTTCTAACTTTACAGTATTAATAGGTATATACATCATAATACCTACGCATACATTTTACAAATTCGGCCAGTTAATTCATTAGTATAAATAAAATCGGTTAGCTAAAGATGGTAGACATAATAACAAGAGAACAGCAACAAGAGTCCATTAAATAAGAGGTCTTAATAAATTTAGTCGTTGCATGATGCTGCCCCATTATGAAATCCTGAAATCAAATTTAACTGACGATGAGCCTTGCCTATAATGAAAATTCAAACACTAAACAGAATTGGAGATAAACTAGGAACAACCAAGTATGCATTCTTAAATGAGAAACTGATAATTGGTTCAACAGATTGTTCATCAAGACTCATTTGTATATATTCCTATATTAGGGTACTTTTTTCAGTGTCAGATTATTGGGGGAGTGGAGAAGGCGGCCAGGGTCTTTAGTCCTGGGACGGGCTTCACATTTCAAGACGTCCTTTTTGAGTAAAATCTGAACAGTGTCAAAATACGTTCGGTAAGTAGGTAGAACAGACAGTTTCGATTTTGAAATCGGAGGTATTTCTGAGTGGATCAGATCGTTTTGCCACTCTCCCTTCTTCCTTTAATTTATGATATGAGATATTTGTTGTTTTCATTTGTTATTTAATAGATTTATCTGTACACACCCCAAAATCGAGAAAAATATAAGATATTTTCTAAAGATTGTTATTTTTCTTCGGGAAGATAAAACAAATATACGATTCTTTGAAGCACAAATATAAAGAACGATGAGGATGAACGAAATCTCTAGAACAAGGAACAAAGATTCCTAGATTTATTCCCTTTCGCAGTGCTCAATTTAACCCGATTGAGAAAATCCACCCACTCTAATCTATTTATCTTGTAATCAATCAAGGTTGGTGAAGATAATTTAGAGTAGGGAAGCGCGTGGAAAGTCGAAATTCGCATAAAAGCGAATCCATTTGAATCGTAACCGTCGTTTGGAAGTAGAGACAAAGCGTGCTACGCGACTGTCGCCTGTAAAAGCTGAAACGTTCTTATCTCGTCCAGATCACTATCCAATTAAATCTGACAATGGGTTTACTCCGGTGACATGAGTAGTGAAGCACATTCCTACTAAAAGTGGCCGTTCACGAGAATAATTTCGACTTGTCGGAGAGAGAAAGAGAAAAGAAAGGCAGACCGATCGCAGACGGCTTGGGATGATCGGCGAGCAACAACAGCGCTATTAAAACGTTTGTCAAAAGCATGCGTTTCAAGACATGCTTACAATTCCTGATTTAATTATCCTCCCAAAAAAGCTCCACCAAAACTAATTCTAGATGTATTGGGACCACCGACTAAACTTTGAAATAGATTGTCAAAAAAAATTACAAACCATGGAATGAAAAAATTGGTTTGTTTCAGTCTATTAATATAATTGTTACTCTTTCTCATAAATGAATTTTCTAACGGGAACAGAAAATTATTAACACAAAATGTATATACGTCTTTATGCATATCGAAGTTAACTGAACTTAACCCACAGTGGTCAGTAACCATATCTGCATTTTATTAAGGCCAAAACAGAGACTTAATCGATAAAATCAATTCAAGCCATATTTCAGCAAGATCCGATTGAGAAAAAAAAAAATTAAATAAATCATAAATACAGTTATGCAATTACTGCAGTTGAAACCAATCAATTTTACAAACTTAGGACTAACCATGAGATTAAGACCAAATGATCAACAAAAAGTTTATGGTGTTCATTTAGTCGAAACCGTCAGGCGTTGATCGCGATTTTGATCTTATTGTATCCCATCAGCACGCCGCCGAAAATTTCAACATGACGCAGAGCAACTCCGCTCGACCTGCTGCCTTTAGATAGAGTTGTATGAATTCTGCAAATAGATTAATGAACGCCACCTGTAGAAAATTACTACATTCTGTGAGATTTAGTCTTACTATCGCTCCTCACTAATCCTTTATTTATGGAACTTGACAAAATGTTTGAATATTCAAATAAAAATGCACCGTTTAACCCAAGTACCATATATGTACATGTATACACCCAGAAAAAAAATATTTGAGTCGATTATAATACAAAATATTTAGATAATATCATCAATCACAAACTATATCCCTGTGAACATATAAGACTACATAAGTATATAATATTATGAAAGGCTGTAACAATAAGCAGACAACATTTTGGCACCGAATTATATTTTTTGCTTAATCGATTGTCTCTTTCACGTTTAGCTATTAAACGGCTATATTTGTGTCACGAAAACGTAGTTTGCGGTCGCCGTTATTCAATCAGGAATTTTTATTCAGAAACAATGACGTGTTTCAAGATGATATCTCCCATAATACATACCTTTAAATTAGAAACCGTATTTCGATTCTCACGCTCCAGACATTTTAGTCATTCATACAGATACAGTAGACGTTATATTAATGAAGGTGTAGTTATATACTTTCTCTTATCCAGATTACAATTAGATGAAAAAAAAATAGGCAGATTATGAGAGTAGAAATTGGTAAGGGTACAATGAAGATTTTAATGAAAAGCAAAAATTTTATACTCAGTTCTTTTTCCTTCGATTATCCTTATTTTGGTTTTGTTCGTTAAAGTTTCTGTAGGTTTTTGTATGTAAAAAGTATACACAAAAAGTACCCCAGTTAACGAGCCGTCAATGATTAAGAACAGTTGCCAGTTATCCTGTCGCCCTTCTTTATAGCATGCGTCAACTGAGGAAACACTCATACCTACTCGTGACCTTCGCAAGAGCTGGTACACTGATGTCACATACGGACGGTGCAATGAAAATGCTCTGGCGGCGTCACGCTAATACGTGTCATCATTGCCAGAGTACTTAGAGCTTTCGTTAAGGTCATTACCCTCATTTTTATGTATAACACTGAGTGGTGCGAGATAGTTTATTCTATTCCTTTTTCGTGTACTTTCTTCTCCCTTAATTTTACCGGAGTACTGTGTATGCTGGTTCGTTCGCGCCTTGCAATATCTGACACGAAGGGTCGCAAAGCGCGCGGCTAGTCTCAACTTATCTCGTAGTTTAATTTATTACTGACGTGCATAACCACTTGTAGTAATAAAGATATTCGACGCAAATGACTGGATAATCAAAACTACCGCGACTAAATAACAACTCGACTTGATAGTCGTGGACGTAATGTACAAGTGGCTATACATATACGTATACATACGTACAATCTACACGTACAGTCGCACGTGGCGACATATGCAGCGGAAGTAGTTAAATTGTTGTAAAGTTCGAGACAGGTGACTCGACGGGGTCTTCCTTCCTTGAGGTCAAATTCACTCACCTGCCCGAAATCGNTACTCAGTTCTTTTTCCTTCGATTATCCTTATTTTGGTTTTGTTCGTTAAAGTTTCTGTAGGTTTTTGTATGTAAAAAGTATACACAAAAAGTACACCAGTTAACGAGCCGTCAATGATTAAGAACAGTTGCCAGTTTGGCAGCCGCGTTATCCTGTCGCCCTTCTTTATAGCATTCGTCAACTGAGGAAACACTCATACCTACTCGTGACCTTCGCAAGAGCTGGTACACTGATGTCTCATACGGACGGTGCAATGAAAATGCACTGGCGGCGTCACGCTAATACGTGTCATCATTGCCAGAGTACTTTGAGCTTTCGTTAAGGTCATTACCCTCATTTTTATGTATATCACTGAGTGGTTCGAGATGGTTTATTCTATTTCCTTTTCGTGTACTTTCTTCTCCCTTAATTTTACCGGAGTACTGTGTATGCTGGTTCGTTCGCGTCTTGCAATATCTGACACGAAGGGTCGCAAAGCGCGCGGTCAGTCTCAACTTATCTCGTAGTTTAATTTATTACTGACGTGCATAACCACTTGTAGTAATAAAGATATTCGACGCAAATGACTGTGGATAATCAAAACTACCGCGACTAAATAACAACTCGACTTGATAGTCGTGGACGTAATGTACAAGTGGCTATACATATACGTATACATACGTACAATCTACACGTACAGTCGCACGTGGCGACATATGCAGCGGAAGTAGTTAAATTGTTGTAAAGTTCGAGACAGGTGACTCGACGGGGTCTTCCTTCCTTGAGGTCAAATTCCCTCACCTGCCCGAAATCGTAAATCAAATTTAAAATAGGTAGGCGTTACTTAATAAATGCGTATAGAGAGGGTATAGGTATAGAGAGTATAGTCGCCAGGACCATGGACCATGATGGGTCCATGGGAAAAGGTCCGCGAAGATCCGCGGTCCCGTTGCCTCTGTAATTATTAGCGGCTTCATGGAAACGACGCTTTTTCTTTAATAAAACTGCTCACGATTATATCATCGAACCCAAGACACTCGGCTATGGATACGTATGGTAACTAAAATAATGGAAAAAAAGTTCAAAGAAACACTTTGTGAACGAAGCGTACCTATAAATGCTACGTGTGAAAGGTACACACACCGACGCGTGAGCTACAATGATTTATTGTTGATTAAGCCTTTACATGAAATTAGTCTTTGATGATGAAGTGTTTAGAAAGCTATTTGGCGAGATATTACCAGTATCTTTCTAATATAACTGTTCATGTGTGAGATACTGAAGGAAATAGTCGATAGATTTTTCAGAAGAAGTAGTATGCAATATTATTGAAAAAATGTATAATGCGTAATTATCATAAGTTATTTTCACAAATAAAACCAAAGAGGTGAAATTAATTTGTACACTACCTTTAGTAAATTTGAAGTCAATTAGATTTTGGTGATATCACCCTAACAAATTCATACCTTTGCTCAAATTGGGTTCTTGACTATGTGACCTCAGGCTTTATGACTTTTTATTAGTGAACGATCGAATGTTCGGTTTCGTTTTCGGTTTGGCAAAAAATCTAGTTTCGGCACCAGTTTCGGTTTCGACAGAAAATCTACCGAACCTTCGACAGCACCGAAACT